GCTTCGCGCGCTCGTCGCGTCGCCGAGCTCGCGCCGCGCCGAGGCCAAAGCCTCCTCGTGGCCCTCGCTGAGCGACGCCCGCAGCGCTGCGAGCTCGTCGGCGTGCGCGTCTTCGAGCGCTCGTCGCGTCGTCGAGCTCGCGCCGCGCCGAGGCCAAAGTCGCCTCGTGGCCCTCGCTGAGCGACGCCCGCAGCTTTGCGAGCTCGTCGGCGTGGGCATCCTGCAGAGCGCTCCGGGCGCTCGTCGCGTCGTCGAGCTCGCGCCGCGCCGCCGCCAAGGCCTCCTCGCGGCCGTCGCGGAGCGCCGCGAGCTCGTCCGCGTGCGCCGCCTCCAGCGCGCCGCGGGCGGCCCTGGCCTCCTCGAGCTCGTCGAGCGCCGCGGCCAGCGCCGCGTCGGCCTCGCCCTGGGCCGACTCGTGGCGGTCGTGGACGGCCTCGAGGTCGCCGCGCGCCATGTCGATCTCCGACGCGTGGCGCGCCTCGAGCGCGCGCAGCTCCTCGGCGCGCGCGGCCTCGAGCGCGCCGCGCAGCGACGCCAGCTCCTCCGCGTGCGCGGCTTCCAGCGCGCCCTTCGCCGCCTCGAGCTCCCGCCGCCCGTCGCTCTGGGCCGATTCGCCGCGGCTCCGGACGGCCTCCGCGTCGGCCTCCAACGCGCCGCGCAGCGCCTCGAGCTGCGCCGCGTGCGACGCTTCGAGCTCGCGCCGCGCCTCGTCGGCGTCGCTCTGGGCGGACGCGCTGCGGCTCCGGACGGCCTCGAGGTCCGCGGTCCGCGCCTCGAGCGACGCGCGGAGCGCTCTCAGTTCCGCCGCGTGCGACGCCTCGAGGTCCTCCCAGGCGCTCTCGAGCTCCGCCGCGTGCCGCGCCTCGAGCGCCCCGCGCTCCTCGACGAGCTGCGCCTGGCGCGCCTCGGAGGCCTCCCGGAGCGCCTCGAGGGCCTCGCGCAGCGCCGCCGTCTCTTCCGCGCTCGACGCTTCGAGCGCGCCGCGCGAGCTCGCGACCTCCTCCAACTCGCGCCGCGCCGCGGCCAGGGCCTCCTCGCGGCCGTCGTGGAGCGCCTCGAGCTCCTCCGCGTGGGCGGCTTCGAGCGCGCCGCGGGCGCTCGCCGCCTCCTCCAACTCGCGCCGCGCCGCCGCAA